CACTACCTTTCAACAGATACATGAAGAAAAGGAACTTGGAGTTAGAATCCATCACGTGAGGCATAACAGTACACAACACACCTACCAAATCATCAACATTATCTTGGAGTCAGAATCCACCAATCGGCAAACCAAACCCTGGGAATAATCATGCATACCTTTACCTTCAAGGAGAAGAAAGTAGACCTTCAATTGTATAAGTTTCTGGTGCGCCCCCACATGAATTATTGCATCCAGACATGGAAACCTCATCTTCAGAAAGACATAGCTGCTCTGGAGCCGTGTCTTACCAGAGCTATGGAGATATGTCTTACGACAAAAATCATACCAGAGCTTAGTCATCTCTCGTATCAGGAACGGTTGAGGGCCACAGGGCTAACAACACCACAAACCAGGCATGACAGGGCGGACTTCATAGAAACCTTTAAAATACTAAACAATTTGGAGGATGTCGATCAGGACAATGTCTTCAAAAGATCAGATGTTACATGAACAAGGAGCAACGGGTTCAAACTCAACAAAAAACCCATATAATGTTGGTAAATCATGATCCTCAAAATCTTCCACAATATCCGAGAGAGGACAGATTATTTAGCATTAGTGCAATACAAACATTTGAATACTACACAACCCGGATGAAAAAACAATGACCCTCGGAGACATTACTACAAAAACTAATTGTTATAATAGCGAACAAATGTATAATGCATTAGCATTGTAGGTGGAGATAGACTATATATTCATGCTACCTCCCAACTGCTCAGATAGCAAAAAAAAAAAAAAAAAATTATCAGCCGTACCTACACGGGAGCGACATACTCACGCCGCCGTTGCCTCCTGACGACTGGCGGGGTCGTAGTCGATGACCCGTAAGCGACCAACCGACCCAGAGACCCTGTGCCTAAAGTTATTTGAACGCCATATTGAAATTCCTAGCGTATATCACCAGGAATGTGTAAATTAATATTTATATATGCATTATAGGTCTTTCTAAAGTAATTTATAGATCTGAATATCATATATTGTCTAACAAACGAATTATTTAAGTTAATATTTTAATTATGCCAGATACAAGTCTCATCGCACACTAGAAGATTCATCAGCGGCTTTTTTTTATTTTTATTTATATATTAAAAGAGTTCTTAAATTCTTGTAAAGCCACTAGCATTCATAGTGTTTCGGCAGGTCCTTAATCCTAATTTTTTTCCCTAATTTTTTCTTTTAACAACCTATTCTCTGCTGGATGAACAGTTAAGGATTGTCGCCCGGTCAATCCTTCCCGGCCAGCAGGTCAAAGAGCCGGGCACGCGCTTTACCACTGCGCCACAGGGACTACTCCGTGGCGTAGTGGAATTTTTAATTTTGAAGCCTGACTAACCTAGCTCAACCCAACCCAACGTAACCCAAATCAAACCAATCTCATCCAACCGAGCCCAATGCAGCCTAACCTTATCATTGTGATCAAATTCTGCTTTCAGACAACACACAGCCCCCTTGTTTAACTCCCTAAACATGCTAAACATAATCTCACTGCACAAATTCTCTTGTGTCAACTACATTTACAAAACCCTGTTCTTAAATGCAAATCCTTGTCTGAAACTCTTCCTGGACAGATGTAATAGGACCCATTATCACCACACCAGAAATAAATATCTCTTTGATATCCCCAGAGTTAAACTTAATCTGTGTAAACACTCTATGCAAATAAAGGGACCCAGTTTATGGAACTCACTCCCTACTGAATTGAAAAGCTGTCCAACTTTTGCATCATTCAAAATCAATACTAAAAAGTACCTAATTTCATCTTCATAGTTTTTCACTTTTTGCCTTAAAATTGCACTGTATCAATTGCTACCCAATCTCCCAACCTTTATGTTCCCAATTTGAACATCTTTACCATTGTGATAATTGCTGTTTTCTTATATGTGCTGCCAATCTGTTGTATGGTGTTTATAAATCTTGTTTATCTGTATCTTTTGCTACCCAATCTCCCAATCTTTATGAACCCAATCTGAACATCTTTACCATTGTGATCATTGCTGTCTTATATGTGCTGTCAATCTGCTGTATGGTGTCTATTAATCTTGTTTAAATTACTAATCAAGCTGTCAATGTAATCAATCAGAGCTTTAATATAACAATGTGCTTTAATATACTTACTTATCTCTCTCATCTCATTTTTCTCTTGTAATGTATCTTTATCATTTATCAATTCTGATTGAAATTACCTACTTAAAATTATCTGCTAGATTAAGGACCTGCCCGAAACGCTGCGCGTACTAGTGGCTTTACAAGAATGTAAATACTGTACTATCCAATGTATTCTCACAAACCCAATGTACCTTCATGTATATATATAAATAAATAAATAAATAAATAACATAACCTAATACAGCCTAGCATAACAATACATCCGGTTTTAAAACAGAAAATGAGTTTAGCATGTACGATTATATTACGTTGTTCAGTAGATTAGATACATAGTGTTTAGTGAGTTTTCATATTTATTTAGTAGTCTTGGATACAGCAGTATCGTAGACGTTGTCTCTCTCTCTCTCTCTCTCTCTCTCTCTCTCTCTCTCTCTCTCTCTCTCTCTCTCTCTCTCTCTCTCTCTCTCTCTCTCTCTCTCTCTCTCTCTCTCTCTCTCTCTCTCTCTCTCTCTCTCTCTCTCTCTCTCTCTCTCTCTCTCTCTCTCTCTCTCTCTCTCTCTCTCTCTCTCTCTCTCTCTCGCTCTCTCTCTCTCTCTCTCTCTCTCTCTCTCTCTCTCTCTCTCTCTCTCTCTCTCTCTCTCTCTCTCTCTCTCTCTCTCTCTCTCTCTCTCTTAATTAACTACACTTAGGAAATTAATTGTCACGTACGTTAGACATATCAAACTAGGTCTATAACGTCGGACTGGTGACCCTCCCCTGGATGCAACCCCGCAACAGTTGACTAACTCCCGGGTGCCTATGTACTGCTAGGGAAACAGATGCATTAGGTGATAGGGAACGAATTATCATTTATGGCTTCGTCGGGAAGATGGTTCTATGGTTTCCATGAATTTACTCGAGGGTGGCCCTCGGGCAAATTCAGGTATCTCTCTCTAGTAGTCTAAACGAGGACAGGAAAGTTGTCTGGCTTGTTAAAGGCCCCTCCCATTTGTTTTGGGGATTTTATCGAGCAATGTTTTGGCATTTACGACTTCGGCGGGTATACGTTTCCACAACTTTATAATTCTATGGGTGAAAACAAATATTTTCCATCCTTCAATGTGACTTGTTGAGCTCGAAACCGTTGTTCCTTGTTCGTCTTACATCTAACCTTTTGAAGAAGTGTTCTCGATTAATATCTTCCAAATTGTTCAGTAATTAAAAAGTTTTGCCGAGAGCATACTGTCATGTCTGGTCCCTGTGGCCCTCAACCGTTCTTGGCACAGGATCGGGGCTGTAACTGCATATTTGTGATTGATTGATGAAGAAGCCACCCAAGAAGTGGGAAGAATAGCCCGTAAGTGGAAGATTTTTTTGGAGTGAATGTGATCTTTGTGATCGTGAAAGGATATAGTCACTGTTTCCCAAAGCGGCGAAGTTTCTGTCGGAAGAAAACGTATTACCATGAATTTGTGTCTAACCGACTAAGTAGCGCGCGCGCATCGAGCAGGGTACTTAAAGCGCGCCCGCGGACTCGGCGACCTCTTGTTCGCCTCCTCCTCGCCTGCTGATACACTACAAAACGCCCACCCTCCTCCCGGGATCCCCTGCATCGATCCCCTGTCTTACTTTCCAAGGGAAGACGCTAAAGCAGTTTGCTGGGGACACTTTTTCCATCTTGCAACGAATTTGTGTTACCTTTGGGGGTGCTCCGACGGAACCCCCCAAAGTGATAAGCCAAGAATACCAAGAATTGGAATTAATTAGCTATTATGCTTCTTCATTTAAGGATTATCAATTATCTAATCATTTATTATGATTATTATTATTAATTAATTATTTGTATTTAATAAATAATTTATTATTATTATTATTATAAAAATAAAATAAGTCCCCCACTCTGTGAGCGTTTTCTTCCAACCGCAGAAAATACTCTGCATGCTGTGCTCGCATTTAAATCGTCAGTCTGTGGCTTCTATCGCGGGGTGCTTGTTTGTGTTGCATCTGATCCTAAATAATCATAATTGAGTTTCTTAACATTAATAGCCCAAATTAGCACATCTTGCTTTTAAATTAGCCCAAAAAGTAGCAAGTAGCGAAATTAAAAATTTGGGAGCGCGGGGCTCTCAAAAGTAGCCCAATTCGCTATTTGAGTGGGCTGGGCAACACATCTAGGCGTTTCATACACAATTGTTTTGTATACAAATAACAACTTCGTTCACAATGTTTCGTATTTAGGCTCCAATTTCGTACATGTGTGCGAGATCTACTTTCTGATTGTTGATGTGACGACTTATATTGAATTTTGTAACTAGCTCATCAAGATTGTAACTTGCTTAGCTAAATGAATTGTGGGGTTCAGTCCCTGAGCCCATTATGTACCTCTGTAACCCTTTCCACTACCGCCCACAAGATGGGTATGGGGTGCATAATAAATGAACTAAACTAAACTAAACTGACAATAGAAATCCATTAATCTTAAGGTATACCTATTATTTAATAACTGTAATTGGATCCTCTGTAATTAATATAAGTAAATTATTATTATTAAATTCTTAAAAGCAAAATCAACAACAAAAATAACAGGGACCGGAAAAATAGTGACCGCTTTCAGAGGAAAAAGCTATAGTGGCTCTTAGACATTTTGATATATATATGTTAAGGTTTATAAATATTAAAAATATATATTATCAATATAGAAATTGAACAATAACGCTCGTATATATGTAGCGAAAGATATGAAATTTCCACTAAAAGCACAACAATTAATGTCAAAACATGACTAGAGAGAGTTTCTGGAGGAGTAAAATGAGGAGAGATTTGTAAGCCTTAAGTGTATCGAGAAATACAAAAGATAGGATCGCGTAGTCACTTGTCTCATCCAATAGTCTCCTTCGCTCAACACTCGTTAGTTATATATAGATTTGTTTTTCTCTTCCCATTTATCAACTTGTTTCCGGAAAAATTTGTGATCGAATGTGTGCTAGTGGTGAGACTTGCGAGCAGAAAAGAAGTTGAGTGTGTTGGTGAGTTGTGCGCTGGAGGTGTGTGATGGAGGGAGGTGTGGGTGTGGAGTTGTAGGAGGAGGAGCCTCCACCCTCATAACACCCTCACTGCCACTGGGAAACCACAACAACCTTGTATACCAGCTTCTGTGTAATTATGTTTATATTAACTTTTGTTGTTTTATGGTTTCTCACCACACCTGTAGGGGGGATGATCTGGTAGCCAGAGCTTCTTGTAGGACTTCAAATTGATTTTCCATGGATCTGTCAACTCAGTTTGCTTTACTGTTGTTAGGCCTAATTAGAAAAACACATTCACAATCATTGTTTTTCTTGAAGATGTTTTACTGAAGATGATTTGTGTATAGAGTAGCAGTCACTTTTATCAACATTTTTGTATTATTATATATAAATAAATAACTTTCTCTTATTTTTATTTTTTTATACAGTTGCAAAGTTGACAGTGGAAAATGTTCTGTCAAGTGTTATTTAGTTACTGAAAATCGATTTTTCTACTATAAGGGAATGTGTTCTCTGTTTTGTTGCATGCACTAGGCTTGCTTAGGGTTATATTAGTTCATATTTTATTATACAATAATAAATAAATAAATAATTAAACTGGATAGTGGCAACATTAGTGTTTAAGGAAGTCTAAGTGGTATGTAGGAGTAGGTAATAGCATCTCAACAGTTGAGCTGCAGAACAATAAAATAAGGGGCAGTAAAGATGAGCTTCCAAACCCTCCTGACAGTGTGCATATGCTGTACCTCTGTTTAAATCTTGCAGTCGAATCACTTGCCATCAAATCATTTATTCTTAAGCCGATTGCAAACCTGCCGGCTGCGTTCCTTATCTTTACCCCAAATTCTCTCACAACACTCATAGCAAAATGGCCGTTTTCACAAAGTTTAATTACTGTATTAAACATGTTTCTATTAACTCTTAAATAGTGGCTATTATCATATGTTGTTCCCAGGGTAATGTAGTTAGCATCATATGCTGATTTTAGTTGTTACGGCCCAGTTTTTAAATGAAAGATATAAATGTGGTTATAATACATCTGTATGGATGTAATGAAGTTAACCAAGATTCATTAAAAAATTACTTTTTTTTAATTGTTTACTATGCAATGAGGTTATGTACCAGTAGTTATTGTCAAATCACAATTTGTTCTTTCTCACCAGAATTTATCAACAACATTCCTAGACAGAATAGCAGCAACGAAGTTGGGTGCATGACATTATCTTTGAGCTGTGCCAGAAACAGATTTACTTATAATTTAATATATAAACCTATTTTGTAAGACGTGTACTTTACTCAATCACTGTTTTTGGCAATTATGTGTACATAAGTTGAATTATTCCACACACAATTATGGCTTCTTATTTTTGCGTTTAATGTTAAAAATTCATCTTTGTAAATTTTGTTGATTCTTGTCACTATTTTGTGTCATCACATTGCCTCTTTTTCTTGTCCACAAACTTTTGCATATTTAATGCCTCTTCTCCTGCCTCATTGCCATTCCCTTTCCCCCTCCCCCCCTTTTTGTTTATACACAGGTGGGGTACAGGAACAGACAACTTCTGACTCTTGTAAGCCGGCTGAGAGCTTTTCCCTTCCCATAGCTCATGGTAAGCCTTACCCACTAATTTTCCCCTGGAACATCACCCCACCAATCGGTTAAAAGCTAGGTATCCAGTCACTGTTGGGTTAACAGAGGAGAACAGTTAACGATTAGCGGATTCATTGGATTTAAGGATTCATCACTAGTCATTGCTCCCTGGCCAGGACTTAAACTCGGACAAAATCCCTCGCGAGGTATGGGACGGGTGTATTACCACTGTGCCACCAGGGACTGCATTTTAGGGTCAAGAGCTATTTACTAGCATGTGTCTGTATGTGTGCAGTAAGTAATCAGTTTACTGTACTAAAAATTCATGTAAGGATGTCACTGGGTTCCTGGTCAGTTTTATATTAATTTTGTATAATTTTGCCTGCTTTATAATGAGTACTCCAGCATTAATAGGTACAAATACAAGTTTTATTGTATTGTGGCAGGAAAGTAAGTAGCAAAAGTATTAAATACTGTTGAAGTACTGTATACAGTATTGCTTTATTGAGAAATGTGGAAAAGTTAGCTCATGTGGATCTGAACTGTAGTCCTAGTTTTCACACAAATTGTACCTTTAAGATTGTTTTGTGCAGTTTTTAGAGTACAATTTTCATGAATGGAACACTCACACAAATTGCAATTAATTTGGATATACTGATTATTCAGTTAGTGATATCATTGATCTACCATGGTTTTGTTAAGATCATGAGTGAGGCCAGATTTGGCAGAAACAACTCATTAGACTTATTTTTAAATCTTATTTGAAAGCTTTACAAAAGGAAATTCGTTGTGTTAATAATTTTTAATTGTAATGTTCCTTTACAATAAGAGCAAATTAGACTTGTCAGAAATATGTTTGATACCTTTGTTAATTTTGAGTTTTGATCCACAGTATTTCACACAAGACAAGCCAAGACAAAAATTGTTGCATCATGTCTAAACTACGGTGGCAGCTTAACAATGCAGTAGAACTATGACTCATGTCCAGCTATCATCAGCAGCTGTCTCACCCTAACCCTAATTCTGTAAGTTCTAATGTTTTGAATGAGTATCTTTCAGGTAAAAGATTATTGGTGAAACATAGCCAGAGTAATTTATAATTTTTATTCTAATGTATGATGTTTCATAATTTGAAGCATTTTTATGGTTTGTAAGAAACACAACTAAATTAAAATATAGTAAATGCTTAGTCTTTTAATTAACACATGGAGAAATGAGATATAATTGCAGTACATTAGACCATTGGTGTAGTGCAAGTTTTGCAAAGTGTAACACATGCTTCAACTCTAAAAATCCTTTGTTACAAGTGTGGTTAATGTTGCAAGAGTTGCCATTGGTGTTTTGTGTGGTTTGCACTCACTCTGGTAACCCCCCTCAGTTGTTTCTCTTGAGCTTATGCACTGTGTGTTACTGGTCAGACTAGCCAACATCAGGTATCTGTGAGACTTAGCTAAGTGGAATTAAGTGCCCTTACAGGCAATTTACCCTAAAAGCAAAGAAAGGGGACCACAAAACTCCCATACTCTCTGAGAAATGTTTTAGAAAATTGCCAAATTACCAAAACAAAACTGAAAACTTCTGTATGTACAGTCAACCCAACCACATAAATTACCAGTACAGCAGCAGCCTTGCTTCTTGCTGGTTGGTGTTCAATCCCCAATGGTCTAAGTGGTTGAAAACTTTCCTCCCCTCCTTCCTATCCCAAATCCTTGTCCTCATATTCCTTCCAAGTACTATATAGTCATAACTGGCTTAGCATACACTTCTGAAAATGAACTATACCCGCAGTGGCTGCTACTCCACATCTAGGTGAGGGGCCTGTGTCACTCAAGAGTCCAAATGATGAGCTCACCCTCACTCTGTGCCTGTCGGCATCATTTCAATGTCTACAGATACCGGTACTCTATACACACTAATTGTTCAGCTATCTGTAGGACCTGATCTGTGTGTAGTAGTCTTTGCTGATTAAGTTTCATGATGGTGTATGTAGTTTGCATTGAGTGTTTCTTGTTAACTACTAGCCACTGCTGTTTGAGTTTCAAGTCCTCTCTTCAGCAGTGCTGATCCCATCAGAGTTATAGAGTCAAACCTAGGCAAGGTAGCACTTAGGAACTTGGTTGCCATGCAAGAACTGGTGCTGATACCAAATAGTTACAAAGAATAGGACTACTGATACCAAATAGTTACAGTAGTGTAATTCTTTGTCATGCACAGTTTCGACTTGTATTAGTGTCAGACATTTTGCATCATTTGGTGAGAGAGCACCGATAGTGTAATAGGTGATCATTTGTCTTGTCCATGATTATTCATTCCCTTCCCCTCGTTTCTGTGTAATGGGGCCGGTGTTTAAGGCATTTGGATGTTCAAAATGGCATTCCAATTCCCATGCTTTATGGAGGTCTTGACAACTCCCATCAAGTCCTGAGGCTGCCTATGTTGTACAGTATATGGCTTCCCTGTAGTTCCTGTTATACTTGCTTACACCTCCCCAAGTTTGGCTCAGTGTTGAGGTGTAATGGCAGAGAATTGATTTCATGAATAATAACTATACAGGATGTCACATAATCCATGGCTTCCCAAATACAAAAAAACACCACAAAAGAAGAAATGAAATGAGATGAGCACTTTCTTTCCTCTCGGGACGTCTTCAGTCGCTGACAACGTCCCCTGGTGACAAGAAAACACTCAGCTCATTTAATTTTTTGTGATGTACTTGCCTGAACAATAACATGCATCTTGCTTGATCTCCCTTAATGATGACAATGGCTCAGCTATGAATAGGGATGTGACAGTAGGTAACTCAATACATGTCATCACATTTAGTTCACCAGAACATCTGGTTAGAGCCAGATTATATACCTAACCCACAACATAGTAGAATAGCTAATACAGTACAATGATACTACTGTATATTACAAATGTACATGAGCAAAAATTCATTGATTCTGTTCACAATGTCCTTCAATCTCTTGGAAGCCAGATATAAATATTGATATACAGTATGATGAAGCCATCTAGACATAAAGATGGTTGGCAAAGATGTTGAGGTAAACCAATGCTAATTAAACAAATGAGAGATTAAAAAATGTCCTAAACAACAAAAAGTTAAAAGAATCTGATAAATACTGAAAATGTTGTAGGAAGGGCAGATGACTACTGTCCAAATCTATGTTCAATTACAGACCAAATTTACTGACCCCCCCTCCCTTACAAAACATTTGTAGCCCACTATGTTCCAGCCTTTCTCAAAATAAATGAGGCAGAAACAATAAAGTTAAGGCTGAAATACCAAGAGAGAAAAAAGCATGAACAATTCTATTGGGTAAAATCCCTGGTTTTTGGAACATAAGTTATTAACATTCACATTGGACTTATAAATAATTAGATTAGGTTTACTGTAAAACTTATGGCATGAATGTAAAAAGAGATGTTGTCTATAAAATGATACTGGAATGGATTCTGTACTGTGGAACCTTACTCGAATTAACTACTGTATTTGGACCACAGGCAGTTTGATGCATAAGCATGATCTTTGCTGCCTAATGGTGGTTGCGTTTTCCCAGTACTCTGTCATATGATGCTTGGAAACTGCCGACAGTTTTGGCCTCCACCACCTTCTCACTTAACTTATTTCAACCATCTACCACTTTGTTTGCAAAAGTGAACTTTATCATTTTTTTATAAACTTTGTTTCATTAGTTTAAATCTATGACTTCTTGTTTTTGAAGTTGCAGTTTTAAAGAATTCTTCTTTGTCAATTTTGTTGATTTCTGTCACTATTTTGTATGTTATGATCCTATCACCTCTCTTTTTTTATATTCTAGCTTTGCTATATTTAACAGCTCTAAACTCTCTTCATAGTTCTTGGGTTTTTCTTTAGTTCTGGAAGCCATGTAGTTACATGTCTTTGCACCTTTTCCAATTTACTGATGTGCTTCTTAAGATATGGGCACCACTGCATATTTCAATTTTGGTCTCACAAATGTTGTGAACAGTTTCTTTAATATTTCACGATCCTTGTATTTAGAAGCAGTTCTAAAGTTGGAAAGCATAGCATATGCACCTCGCAAAATGTACTTCATGTGGAATTCAGGTGACAGTTTTCTATCCAGAACAACCCCTAGATCTCTTTCTTTATTAGATTTTTTTAACTTTTTAACATAATTTGTAGGTAGTGTGTGGCCTATTATTTCTTATTCCACATTCCATAATGTGATATTTATTCACATTAAATTCCATTTCCCAATTGTTACTTCATACACATATCTTGTCCAGGTCTTCTTGTAGGGCATGACAATTATCTAAGCTTCTTATCTTCCCTAGTTGCTTGGCATCATCAGTAAACATGTTCATATAATTCTGTATTCCTTCTTGTAGATCATTCATATGTACATTAAACATTACTAGTGCTAGAACTGAACCCTGCAATACTACACTAGCAACATTTCTCCAGTCTGATAATTCTCTCTGGTTACTGCCTTCATTTTTCTGTCAGAAAAAAATTCATCCATATTAGAAGTCTTCCTGTCACCCCTCCAGTATGTTGCAGTTTCCAGAACAACCTCTTTTGTGGAAGTCTGTAGAAAATCTTTTTTAGGTCCAGATAAATGTAGTCAACCCAACCTTCTCTTTGTTAGAAAATCTCTGTGGTTCTGTCCTAGAAACTTAGAAAATTTGTTATACAGGATCTTCTTGTTCAAAAACCATACTGTCTATTATTATATCATTTCTCTCCAGGTGTTTTGCCCATTTGCCTTTAATTTCCTTTTTCTAATATTTTGACTGCAATGCTTGTCAATGATGCAGGTCTATAATTAAAGAGGGTCTTCCTCGCTATCATTTTTGTAGGTTGGAACTGTGTTTGCCTTTTTCAACACATTTTCCACTTTTTTCAACACATTTACTGAGATGTAGCGACTAGAGTATCACTATATACGTACTGTATATAGGTACATGTATATAAATTATTGGTAGATTTAAACATCATCTTTAATTACTCTCTGCTTAGTGTTTCTCTACTTAAATTTTTTAAATGAAAACACCTGTAGTGGTATTTTATTGAGTAACCCAGATTGTTGTGAAGCCTTAAGATATAATGGATATTGTGTTAAAATGTATGAAGATAATGTAAATACTGTATTGTATTGTACTGTCCTTAATTTTTAGGTCCTCCATTACTGAAGTAACCCGTTTAAGATGTCAGCAACAGCAGCCATAACACCCAAGTTTTCTATGATGACAACCCCTTGCAGGATATGCTTTAAGGCAGCCAAGTGGTTGCCAGTCCTTTTTATTGTGACTGTGGTTGTGTGGTCATACTATGCCTATGTGATCCAACTCAACCTCCGTAAGTATAGTATTGCAAATGCAACTTGTTTTTCATTTGTATAAAAAACCAGCGTTGAATGTAATGAAACGCCATTTTCTGGGTGAGACCCGGAGGCTCCCCGGAGCTTACTAGGCTGATATGCTAATGTTAGACTTTGCCATCAGTCATGTGTGTGGAGTTCTTTGGGCCTACCCGGGACCACGAGCCAGAACCTGGCCCCCTCTAGAGAGGCAAGGGGAGCAATGGCCTATAGAAACCCCCATGTGATTGTGGAAGCATTCTATGTCTGCCATCGACCAGGTCAGGTACCCAGAAAGGTAAGCGTCCCAAAACAAACCCCTATTCTGGTGAAAATTGCTACCACAAGCTGAACAGGTGGATGGAACTGCGCATCATGACGTGTGACATCATGATCGTTTGCTCGTTTCTTTTAGGGGAGTTCTATCCACCTGTTCTGCTTGTGGTAGCAATTTTCACCAGAATAGGGGTTTGTTTTGGGATGCTTACCTTTCTGGGTGTCTGACCTGGTCAATGGCAGACATAGAATGCTTCCAACCACACGGGGGTTTCTATAGGCCATTGCTTCCCTTGCCTCTCTGAGGGGGGCCCAGGTTCTGGCTTGTGATCCTCGGTAGGCCCATAGAACTCCATACACGTTACTGATGCCAAAGTCTGGTATTAGCATATCAGCCTGGATAAGCTCCGGGGAGCCTCCGGCTCTCACCCAGAACATGGTGTTTCATTAGTTTCAACTTTTTTTTTTTTTAAATAGCACTGCAATGAATCAAAACTGTGAGGTGGCATAAAATAGGGGTATGCATGTATAATATGGTAGAGGGTTGTATGCATCTTTTTTAGCTATGTTGAAGTGATGGCATTTGTCTTGAATTTTACACTGTACTGTATAATGAATAAGGGGATAAGATGGCAGCTGTCTTTATTGCCTTGGGAGATGAATTTGGGAAATGGATGATGTGTACCTTGGATGATACTGAATAAGGTGATGGTGTACCGGTATATCTTAGGATTATGTGGTATTGAATGCATATATTGTTTTGGGAGAATATGGAAGGGATGGTATACAATATATCATTGAAGATAAACTGTACTATACAGTGTTCAGATAGACTGTGTACTTCCCTTATTGGCTTTTATTGATGAATACAGTACAGTATGTGAATTATGAGGGTGGATAAACTGAGAAGAGATACTTTAAAGATATGTAATATTTATGAATTACTGAAATAATTAATGACATTGTAATGTGTGCAGGAGTGGAAACGGTGGAAATTGGTATACTGTATTAACAGAAACAAGTGACTCAATAAAGTGAAGGGATTCTAGGTGTTGGGAGGATTGTAGGTGAGGTAGGCAGAGTTTCTTGGGAAATTTGTGTTCATTGAGGTGGTAGAAAATCTGATAAATAGGGCTAAAGTTCATAGACTTTAGTTAGCACAAAACATAAATTACCCAGTTTGAAATTGTATTTTTAAGTCACATGTACGTGGCAATGATGTACTGAGGTTTTAATATACACCCTTCTACTTTTTTCCAGTTACTATTACAAGCATCATAGAAAAATGTAAGTACTGTACAGTATTTTGAATACTTATTTTATGCATTACATTTTCAAATGGATATAGATTACTGCAACAATTTCAAAATAGTACTGTACTTTACATTAACAAATTCAGCATAAATTGTTAGTTCCCAGTGTTACCATACCATGGTCCCCATGGTGCAGTGGTAAAGCACTCGCCTGGTGCTTTGCAGGCCTGGGTTCGTATCCTGGCCGGGGAGGATTGACTAGGTGCCAGTCCTTAACTGCAGCCTCTGTTCACCCAGCAGTGAATAGGTACCTGGTTGTTAAACGATTTGGCGGGTCGTATTCCGAAAAAAAGTTAGAATTAAGGACATGCCCGAAACGCTCTGCATGCTAGTGGCTTTACAAGAATGTAAGAACTCTTATATACAGTATATAAATAAATAAATATACAGTACTGTATAAATTTTCTTGTCTGGCTCTGCAGGTGGGTCATGCTTCTGGTCTGCCATTATTTATTCTTCTTGAGATACTGTCAGTGTGACTGAAGATTTTAGTGCAGTTTTCAGTATTTTTCAGTTCATTCGTACAACACTCTTGTATTTCCAAGCACTATTTGGTATTACAACAACTGCCAAGCAGCTTTCTTGCTAACAACTGAATGACTGCTATCACACAACCCGTCCTCTTAAAAATAACATCGCTTTTCGCTCGTATGCACGCTATGGCCAGAAATGGACGTAATTTTAAAGGAAATTGGCTCACAAAAGTGATGTACTTTCCCGTTTTCTGTTTGAGTCCTCTGGCTTACTTGGAAAGGTTAGGAGAGGAAACTTTCAATTAACTTTTTCCATGAAGTTTTGATACTTAAGGAGAATTTTCTGCCCACCTAACCTATCAGAGGACCCTTAACTTACTGTTTTGGAAAAAAAATTCCAAAATTTATTTTCAATTTTTTTTCCGTTTTGAAATTACATCCATTATCGGCCATACAGGCAAGCGGCCAAAAAAGACGTAATTTTTAAGAGGACAGGTTATATCACAAGCTCCTCATATTCTACCTGATCCCAAGGCCTCTTGAGACATATCCTTAACTTCCTGGAGTCAAGATACAATTTTAGCTTTCTTTATGAGCCGAAGGAGCCTGGAGAATAGAAGATTGAGTAAAACCAAGACAGTACCAGCAGAAACCATAATCACAACAAAACAAGCCACATCTTGAAGAAATTAGGTACTTTCAGGTAGCAAAGTAAACTATCATTACCACTGTGTAAATAATCTAACTGTGATGCTGCAAATGATGCAGTCATGCACCCTCTCACATGCCTGGTCATAGTCTTGGGAGTGTATACAGTACCTCCAAGATGATGACCAGGCAAGTGAGTGAGGGAGCACGTGACTGCCCTTGGGTGATTCAGGCTACCACCTGGTGGCAGAAGCACATCACAGTTATGGTATCTACACTGTGGTAACATTAATTTGCCTTGTTACCTGATGGTACCTAACTTCCTCAAGCAGTGGCTTATTTTGTTGGGCTTATTGTTTGTTGGGCCACATCTTTCTGTTCTGGTTTTCTTGGTTTTAATTTGATTTCCCGTCCTCAAGCTCCCCTCGGCCCATAGAGAGAGAGACAGATTTGGGTCCTGGCTCCAGGTAGCATTTAAGAACCTTTTGATGGTAGTAATTCAGTAGTTAGCAAGGAAGCTGCTTGACAGTTGTTGTAGTGACAAATAGCACTTGGAAAGACAGAGTATTGTATGAATGTGCTTTTTGGATGCATTTTTTGCTTGAGATATCTCCTTTCTCCCTAGCACCAGTATATGACCTGGTGCATGTAATTTGAAAAGTTCTCTTATTACCCCTGGGCCAAAAAGTTGACCTGCTATGACTATGTAAGATCCTAACCTGGGATCAGTAGGATCTTGAGTGCATTACATAGGCAAGTTCTTTTCATATGTACCTAGATATATATTTTTGTGTTCCAGGTTTTTATCTGATTGTGTACCATGTACTGCTGGGACTCTTCTTGTGGGCATATTGGCAAACAATTTTCACAGATATTGGTGTAGTTCCTAAACAGGTAAGCAGTCTAGTTTAGTCATTTATCCCTTTTTATTATTATTATTATTATTATTATTATTATTATTATTATTATTAATACTGGTAATAATAATAATACGTACAGTATTGATGTAGGCATGTGGGGGACTCCTCCACCAACCTCTATATTTTCCAATAGGTCTTGTGCAATTATAGGAAGAGGGAGGACTAATTGAGGTAGGAAGGTAGGTAGGTACTAAATGCAGTACAGTATGTATATTTTACCCCCGGAATCTTTGAGATAAGTGATTTAACTTGTCACTTAATGAGGTGACTTCCACTTATTGAAATAGTGAAAGATACTTTAAATGATCACTTACATTTGGACGGATAACACGTTAGTAAGAACCACTGAAAACTGTGTGTTTATTGAGCAAGTTTTAGAATGTTTAATTCTGTTCTGATTTTGAAAAGTTTTGAATTAGTATATTTTTAGTATGTCTTTCAAAATATCAAATGACCCTTGTAATTTTTTTTTTTTTTATACAAATCTCATTGACTATTTTTAGTTTGAGGTTGCTAGCCTTGTTATAAGAGCTTCCATTTTAAACTCTTCTAGGTTTTTTTACATGACAAAAATTACTTCCTGATTTGAGCTGAATTCTGCAGAGGTAAAACTGTTGGTGTCTAGTTAACAGTTAGAAGTTTTACAAAAGGTGTACTTTTACATTTATTGCTTTGTCATACTCTGACTTCTCTTGCTACAAAAGGGGTTTTACAAACTTTTCATTGAGTATACATTTATATATTATTTTCTGTGGGGAGTCCCTATGGATCCTCGGAGCTTACCAGGCTGATATGTATGTATTAGACCGTGGCATCAGTCGCTTGGAGTTCTTGTCTACTGAGGACCATGAGTCAGAACCTAGCCCCCTCAGAGAAGCACGAGGAGCAATAGCCTATGGAACCCTCCCTCCCATGTATTTGGAAGCATTCCGTGTCTGCCATCAACAGGGGTCTGTCACCTAGAAAGATAGGTGGAACAAAACAAACCTCACATGGTAAAAATTGTTACCAAAACCTTAACAGATACGCAAAACTCCCTAACTAAAACAAGCAAGTGTCACTAATGCCATCGCACTGATCGTCTGGGCAGTCTCAGACCCCCCATGCGCTGGCCGCTACAGTATTCAGTTCATCGACTACTTTGGTAGCTGAGGATTTGCACTCCAATGGGCATTGGCCTTGGTCTTGCGTTTCTTTTCCCTTCTCGAACTCTCCTCGGACTGACTTGAGGAGGATGTTCCTGGTTATCTGGAGGCTGTTCCATCTGGTTCTGTCCCGGGTTCGGACCTGGCTATGTCTTGTTTAGGACTCTTGGACCGCTTCTTTGTCTTTCCCTTCAGAAGCGTTGCTGTGGCTGTGGTCCTGCCTTTGGCTGTTTATGAGGGGGTCCCGGGTCGCTCGGCGGTTGCTCGAGCGGTTGTGCAGGAGTCTTAACTTCGCCGTGCCAGTCTGCCCGCCAGGTCGGGTTTGGCTTCAGTGTCGGTTTGGTTCCTTCAGGGACACCCCTTCCGCCTCTCTCGCAATCATTGGGTTTGTCCTCCGGGGATCTTGTATTGGTGCTGCGTCACCGGCTTCCTCTTTAGGGTTTTCGGGTTCCGTGCCTTGGCGCCTCCCCGAGCATTTGCTCGATGTGTTCATGGACGGATCATCTCTCGGTTAGGGCTTTGTGACCAGTGCTCACCAGGCCGGCGGGGGATGGTGGGGTCCTTCCATCTGTCGGGCTCACAGCATGGTTCGGGAGTTCGTGGCTGTCGGGTTTGTGCTTCGGAGGGTTTGGGTCGCTCGGGGCTCTACCATTAACTCAATAAGCTCCAGGGAGTCTTCTTCTCCAGTGGGTCATTGCCAGAACCACTGGAATTCTCTTAGGTCCTTAATCTTTGGGGTTGGTCCCTTCGAGTGGCTCGTCTGCTGGATTCTTGGGGATTGGCTAGCCGTGCTTTTCATGTCCGGGGTGTGTCCTAAGTCCTGGCAGATGGCCAGTCTCGGGTCATTCTCTGTTCGCGGATTGGCTGGTCGTCGCCGACTCGTTTCGTTAGCTCTGCCGGACGTATGGACTCCTGAACATGGACATCTTTGCGTCGGCATGGTCTCGGCATCTCCCATTCTATGTGACGCCCTTACCCGCCTGTGAGGCGTTGACAGTGGATGCCTTTTGGCAGGACTGAGGTGGAATTACCTGATTCTCTTCTCCCGGTCCAGCTGTTGCTTCAGGATCTGGCTCAGTTGGAGTCCTTCCCAAGGATTGTAGTCCTCGTGGTCCCTTGGTGGCCAGCCCAGCTTTTTCAAACGCTGCTTGATAGGTGTCCGAACCCGGGGCGTTTCCCGCGGCTCCGTCTCTTTCAGCAAGTCGGACTGGTCCTGTACATGACTGGTTCGGCCTTCTCCTCGGCTCTTCGCGTCTGGTCTTTTGACACAGGTGTATCACCATCTCTATGGTGATCAGGTGGCTTCATTGATGGTGTCCCACCTGCGTGCTTTGTCTCAGCGACAGTATGACGTTCCTGGGGTGGGGGGGGTAGAAATAGCCTAAGCTACTCTATCTCTTTGAGATGTATTTCTTTCTTGTCTCAATAAACATACTTGAACTTGTTCTTGGCGTTTCTATTCGCCATTTTCTTGCTCTTCGTAGATTGTCTTCTCTTTCGCATTGGGTTGCCTTGTCCTTTCTTGGGTTTTCAGGACTGTTAATTGATGTTCCCTGCTGTCGCCTCGCGTCGTGCGGTGCTGGCGGAGCCACTCCAGCTGTGTTCGGGGTGGACGTCACATCCGCCCCATTCCGTATGCTTTCTTGTGTTTTGTTTCACCTCCAGCCTGCTCATGAGCCGCCTGAGCCATCCAGGTCCTTGATCACGGTGCCCCTCATATCTTTCCTCTCCTCAGTTTGTGATAGCCCCTTCGGTTCAAGATTGTTTTTCAAAGACCATACTGTATTTTGTTGGCATTGGCCTCTACAGGTCGGGTCGGGAATCTTCCAGCTCTCCTCCGGCGCAGGGGTTTCTGCTCTTTTGGTACTGGTGGTACGTTTGTACATTTGCAGCCTTTCTCCGTCCTTCTGGCGACGGTCGAGATGGCTGCTTTCCAGAGGGGTCCTTGGGTTATTGATGCTTGGTTGGTTCGGCCGGGGGTGCGTCATGTGTTGTCCGGTTGCGGTTCTTCACCGTTACTTGTGTGCCGTGGATGGGGATGCGCTTTGGGTTGATCCAGGTTCCCTTCCTTCCCTGTTTCAGGGCTCGGGGCCTCCCAGGTCGTCCGCAGGTTTCTTAAGTCTACCAGCCTGTGGTCTATCCTTGCGCCCGTGCCGTTCGAACGTTTACAGCTTTCGTTGCCGTGTTTGGTGACGTCTTGGGCTCATTTCGGGTGCGAGGATTTGGGGGTTGCACAGGTTCCTGGCCGCCCGTTTTTTTGTGAGCGTGTCTGCTCCTGTGCGTTCTTGTGTTGCTCTGGGTTGCTACCTGTTGTCTCGACTTCGCATTGTAGAGTTTGTGGAGGCCGCCTCCCAGGTCAGCCCTTTCTTTTCCTTCTCTTTGGGTATGTAGCTCCAGGGAGCCATAGGGGCTCCCCACAGAAAACCAGCGTTGAATGTAATGAAACGCCATTTTCTGAGTGAGCCCCGGAGGCTCCCTGGCAACCCTTCCTCCCACCAGTCGGCAGTTTTTCTGCATTGGTTGAAGCTTAGCTTCTGAACTGATGCTAGGCAGCCGGCGCGGTGAGGTCCAGGGGCCCCCCCCTTCCCCTCTCGGGGCGGGGAGGGCTGCATAGACAAGCGGCACGGCAGTAAAGTGTGATGTTTGCTTGTTTCCTTGGGTTTGTAGGGAGTTTCTACCTCTCTGTTTTTTTTTTTTTTTTTTAGTTTCTTACCATGTGGGGTTTGTTTTGTTATGCCTACCTTTCTGGGTGCCTAACCCCGGTCGATGGCAGATAAGGAAAACCCCCAACCACAAGGGGGTTTTAAAGGGCCATTGCTCCCTGAAACCTCTCTGAAGGAGCCAGGTTCTGGCACTGGTCCCTGGTAGGTCTGAACTCTGTAGCTAATGTCCCGGTCTAATATAACATACATTAGCCCGATAAGCTCCAGGGAGCCTCCGAGGCTCACCCAGAAAATAGCGTTTCATTACATTCAATGCTGGTTTTTTGTTTTTTCTTATAATCAGTTTAGATTACCACCCACTGAATTGGACCGCTACGAGTCAGCAGAGACAGATGAAGTGAGACGAGATGTCTTGGAAAGGTTTATCCAGAAGCACAGCCTTCCTGTGTATAACCGCACCATGACTGGCGGTAAGTCTTGGGAGCATTGACGAGGATCAAAATGTGCTACTACAATGGGCGTGCTGGAAGGGATAGATTTGTTCTAGGCCCTTTTCACAAATGAAGTTTCATTGCATAATTTTTTTTATTTTTCACTGTATACCCGTACTGGTACAGTATTTGTTATTTGGGGTACATTATTATTACAGTTTAACCACTGTGATGCACCATGTTTATTAAGACATTTTCCCCCTGTGCACAGAAAATCAGGTGTTTGCACACAAAATTTTGATCTTTGTAACATGATAAATTTCCTTCCCTGAACACATACATGTAAAAAAAACTGAAAGCTTCAACTTACTTTGACTGTGGTACGTGGAGAAGGGGGTGTGTGACGTCGTCATTGGCTGTGTGCCTGTGCGTAAAGTTCCCAGAGGCGGTCGCGTGGGCCACTAAAACACTGCGAGTTGCCACAAATATTTTTCAATTATTTGTTCTTTGTATTTCCAATGTGTTTTTTATTTATTGTATATGATGCACATTTGTGTCCTTTACAAGATGTATACATTAGAACATTCATAATGTTCCATGGAACTGTGATACTGTACATGTGTCAGTAATGTGTCCATAATAAATGTTTGTCGCAATATTTCTTGTTCAAAATTCACTAAAATAACATGTACAGTTTCACACACTATTTACACAGTAACACACTGTATTACACACTCAGTACTTCGGAAGAGAGTGATAATCAACGAAAAAGTCCATGGTACACAGCGCAACTTTGCTCGCAATGCATTAAGTACAAACAGATTTTCGCTTCCTTCTTCTTTGTTCTGTGTGCTTGCAAATAATGCAATAATGCACTCGTGTACACCCTTGGCTTTAGTACCTTTAGGTAGTATGTAGCCAAGGTAGTATGGCTACATACTACCTTGGCTAGTAGTAGTATGTATGGCTACATACTACTACTACTACATTTAGGTAGTATGTATGTGTTCTCGTTCTTGGCTCTGGTGGGTTGAGGCGTTTTCCCTTCACTCAGCACATCCCTGCTCTTTTTCCCCCTCCTTCCCTTTCATCTGTTTGGGTGTGGTGCGTTCAGGATGGGTTTCCCACACAATTTTCTGTTCTCTCTGCAGGGGTCTCCTCAAGACCATCTTTCTTAGGCAAAGTGGGGTACCTTGGTGTTCGTATGCTTCTGGGTAGGGTTCGTGTGCACCGAGTCTGTGTCAGAGAGCTTCGTGTGTTTTGGTGTCTTCGTTTCTCACTATAGTGTCAGGCTGCGATCCTGTGCATTTAGGTCTTCATTCCCTGCACTGTGTTTGTTTTGAAGTTCTCGCTCCCACAAGCATCTTCCGCTGCTGTTTGTGTATGGGACTTTTCCCTGCATTTCTCTGTGCTATGCAGATGGGGAGGTCCAGGCTATGCAGTGATTCTGAGGTCCCACTTTCTCTTCCCTTTAGGTTTGGGTGTGTGTGGTTTTCCCCTCCCCCCCCCCCTTCCCGCCTTTCCACCTTTCCACTCCGTTGTGCAAATTGGAGATGTGGGTTTTGGTGATGCAGGTGTTGGCTTACTGTGGTATGCCCTGTGCCTCTCCTCCCATACTTTTGCCATTTGCTGCCTAGGACTCTTGACTTGGACCTCTTGGTTCACTCTTTGTGCAATGGTCTTTTTACCCCTTCCCTCCTCCTTCCTTATGGCAGTTTTTCTTGGGAGCTCCTACACTGATGTCAGGCACAGTCTACTTGTCACTGATGTATGTGTTCTGGTTGTTCATTTGGGTTCTTTTCCCTGCCACCATGTGTTTTTCTTGGTGAAGATGTCTACATTTATCAACTGGTGCTGCTCTGCCCCATGGGGGCCTTTTATGTTTATGTACATTTGGGCTTAGGTGGAACACCCATGTATTCCTAGGCTTTGTACATGTTGTTGACTTGGAGATTCATGGTGTCATGGTGTTTTCTGGCTAGGTGCTTGGTTGTTTTTGGGCTGTGCAGCTAGCTGTTTTGGGATGCACTTATGACTGTTTCCAGGTGCCTACAATGTGTAGGCGCCAACGTTCAGTTAACTTGACTGTGGCTACGACGTACATGAACAAAGTCTGATAAACTCAGCTGATGCTACGGCGTGTCATCAACCCTCGGTAATCTTGGGGGTAGGTAAACTCCAAATGACTGGCAGGTGGGGCTGACCCTTGGTAAACCTGGGATGGCTATGACATTCTTACCTGGGTCAGTAAACTCTAGATGGCTATGGCACACGGTGCTGACCCTCAGTACGCCTAGGTAAACCTGGGTCAGTAAACTAGATTGTGGCTATGATATGCAATTGCCAAGGTCAACAAACTCAGCATGCAGCGTTGGAACTTGGCTAAACATAGGTCAATAAACCCAGATGGCTATGGCAGGTGAGCTGAGGCCTGGCAAACCTGGGTCAGTAAACTCAGTTTGTCTACAGCATCCAGATCTCAAGCTCAGTCAACTTGGGTTGGGAATAACATGCCCTCATCTTGGTTGGTAAACTCAGGATGGGTTACAGCAGGTAGTGCCAACCCTTGGTAAACCTGGAATCGGTAATGACTTGCCAGCAGTCAAAAGCCAAAACAGAACATTATAATCTCCTTACCTGGGCTGTGTGTCTGGCTCTACATGGGTTGTATGCCTATCAATCAGATGTTTTGATGGTCTGGGCAGATGTTCTGCCCAGACTGTGTTCTGGGTTATGTTCCTTAGGCCTCATGTCATCTCACCAAGATGGTTTTCCCTGCCTGTTTATTTCCTGGTGTCCTCATTCTTTCTTAGTTTTGGCCAGTTGCTTTTTGGTCCTTGATTCTTTGCTCTACAGTTTCTGGCTCCTGAATTCCTTTTTGGACTCAAGGCTGCTTCTGGGTGGTGCAACTGGGGCCCATTTGAATCTGCCTTACTGCGCTGGTGGTGCACTTCAGCATTTGGTGCATTGCTGGTGCTCCTCTGCTCTGGGACCTCTTATTTACTGAATGTCATAGGTAAGCCCTGTCCTGAATTTTGTTTTTTGCTTAGTTTCGTTTGTGAAATGCTGGCTCTTCTGATGAGGCACCATTATCTGATAGCTTTGGAAAGCTACTGATGACTCCCCTCCCACAAAAGTAGCATTGAATTCAATGACATTCTCTCTTTCTGGTGAATATCTCAGTAGCTCCATATTCCTGCTGTGTTTCAATGTGGTTTTTCTTGGGCTTGATAAGTACCCCATGGGTGATTTGGGCTACCACCTGGTGACAGATTTCTGCAACAGGTTCAGTGTGTTTATATGCATTTGCTTGTTTTGTTGTGCATATATTTACAGGACAGTTTTTCTGTTGTTAGATACTGTAGATCTCGGATCCCTAGCTCTCTTTGCCTCGGGAATCAATTTCCGATCCTAGTTTCCGATAGGCATACGTAGGTCTCAGAGTCTTTATGCAGTTCCCTAAGGCATGGGTGGGCCAATGCTTAGCTTCAGGGAGCCACTGAGATCCCTACCAGAAAAAAATTATCTAAATTATCTTCAATACTCAATTCTGTACTTGATTTTTCTACACGTCCTTCCAGGGAAAGTTGGATACCTTCTCAGCTTATTCTCAGGTGCATTTTCAAATCCCATTTTCAAATCCTAGTTCATGTCTTAAATTAGATTTGTTTTGTGTATGCATATATCTTCATTACTTTGGGTCCATAAATGCACATGCCTGCTTGGCCATAAATTATTTTCTGGTGAAACTAAAGTCAAATGCAATAAGCCATTGATTTCACTGTATCCGGCTTCTGGAGAAATATGATCCATTTGATGGGGAGGTCACAGTATTGTATGATGTTATTGAATTGGTGATCAGCTTATTTTCTTTGTAAACCCAAATTAATTTTATGTGGAGAGCCCATCCGGCTCCCCGGAGCTTACCGGGCTGATATGTATGAATTAGAGCATGGTATCAGTCAATTCGATGGAGTTCTAGCCTACCGGGGGACCACGAGCCAGAACCTGACCCTCTCAGAGAGGCACAAGGAGCAATAGCCTATAGAAACCCCCATGTGGTTGGAAGCATTGTATGTTTGCTATCTACCGGGTTAGGCACCCAGAAAGGTAGGCGTCCCAAAACAAAACTACAGCTGGTTAAAAATTGTCACCAAAAGCCAAACTAGAAAGCAGAACTCCCTAAACAGAAATCGAGCAAACAAGTATGACGTCACCATCGCTGCCACGCCGCTGTCTGAGGAGGGGAGGGGGGGAGGGGGAGCCCCAGATCCCTGCATCAACTATCCAAACCCAGTTCTGAGGCTGATGTGTTGAACGTGGTCATTCAACTATAGCTCTGATCCTTGTGCAGTGCTGCGCTTTGTGGTGCTGTGAGCCAGGTGTATTTCAAGAAGTACTGGGGCTGCATGTGCCTAGGGGTCACCTTCCCTAGGTGCCCTGCAAGTACTGCTCTTACAGTTTGGGGTTACCTTCCACAAATGTTGATTGTGGATCAACGAATCTGCTCCATTCGAACTGCTGGGGTTCGATGCGGTCCTTGGCTCTTTGGGACTAGTCACTTCGGGTGACTCGTCTGCTGGATTCTCGGGGTTTGGCTCTCCGGGCGGTTCATTTCCAGGGAGTATCCAATGTCCTGATGGATGGCCTGTCATGGTTTATTTCCCTGTCCACAGAATGGACGGGTGACGCCAACTCCTTCAGTTGGCTCTGCCGGACGTTTGGCCATCCAGCAGTGGACCTCTTCGCATCGACAGAGTCAATGCGTCTCTCAGTATATGTGGCGCCCTTCCCTGACTGCGAGGTCGTCAGGGTCGATGCTTTTCGGCAGGACTGGTCGAGGTGGGGTTACTTGTACCTCTTCCCCCCAATCCTGCTGTTGCTTCGGGTTCTGGCTTGATTGGAGACTAACCAGGGAAGAGTAGTCCTGTTGGCCCCTTTGGTGGCCGGCCCAGCCTTGGTTTAGGCGCTGCTTGCTTGATGTCTGAACCTAGGGTTCTTTCCTCAGCTCCGCCTCTTTCAGCAGATCGGTCCGGTCCGGTTCGGTACGTGGCTACTTCGATCTTCTCCTCCAATCTTCGCATCTGATGTTTCTGATGCGGGTTTATTGCCACTTGTATGGTGATCAGGTGGCTTAGTTGGTGTCCCACCTGCATGTTTCGTCTCGGCGGCAGTATGAAGTTTCCTGGCGGTCCTTTCATCACTTTTTGTCTCTACGTAAGTTGTCTTTGACTTCAGATCGGGTTGTTTTGTCCTTTCTCTCTCTCTCTCTCTCTCTCTCTCTCTCTCTCTCTCTCTCTCTCTCTCTCTCTCTCTCTTGGCTGTTTCAGGACCATCATCTTTTGCCGTTTACTGTCGCTTCATATCGTGCGGCACTTCTGGCGGAGCCCCTTCAGCTTGCATTCGGGGTGGATGTCACTTCTGCTCCGTTCCGTAGGCTATCTTGTGCATTGTTTCACCTCCAGCCTGCTCATGTGCCACCTGAGCTGTCCTGGTTGTTGGACCAGGTGCTCTCTTTTTCTCTCTCCACCTCGGTTTGTGGTGGTTCAGAATTGTTTTTCTAAAGCTCTTTTCTTGTTGGTATTGGCATCTGGGGGTTGGATTGGGGAACTTAAAGCTGTCCTCAAGCTGGTGGTCAGTTTGTTCATTTGCACCGTCTTCTTCTTTTCTGGCAAAGAATGAGACTGCTGGTTTCCAGAGTGGTCCTTGGGTTGATGCTTGGTTGGTTTGGCCGGGGGTGCATCATGTGTTGTGTCCAGTTGTAACTCTTTGCCGTTACTTGTGCACCAGGGCCTCAGTGACTGGGGACGCGCTTTGGATGGACCCAGTTTCCCTTCCCTGTTCCAGGGCGCAAGTCTCCCAGGTCGTCCACAGGGTTATTTGGTCCAGCCAGCCTGCGGTTTATTCCCATGCCCATAACGTTTGTAAGTTCTCGGCTTTGACTGGTATTTTTGGTAATATGTCCTGGGCTGACATTCGGGCGCGGGATTTTTGGTGGTCGAACAGGGTCCTGGCTACACGGTACCTTGTTAATGTTTCTGGCCCTGCTTGGCCGTGTGTTGCCTTGGGTTGTAGGTTGCAGGAAGTTGTCTCGACTAAGAGTTGAGGAGCGAGTAGCAACCGTCTCCTGGGTAAGTCCCTCTTTTTCTTGTCTTTAGTTAGGTAGCTCTGGGGAGCCGGAGGGTTTCTCCACAGAAAACTAGCATTGAATGTAATGAAATGCTGAATTGTAATGAAACATTCAATTTCATTACATACAGCGCTGATTTTTTATTCAGTATGTTATTGTTTTCTCTCATATCCTGTCCCTTGTTATAGCTTAACTGAATAATGGTTTAACAAGTTGCATATAATTATTTCAGTAACTAGGTTCCGGCAATTCCTGGTTGCTGTTAAGATAAATGAGATATAGATAAAAATAATAATCACCATGTATTCAGGTAAAATATTTAGAGTAGAAAAGAAGGCAGGTAAGTTGTACAAAATATGGGATTTAATAAATGTTTCTCATTGAAGCATAAGCTGTGGAAAGAGAAAGCTAAGCCTATTAACAAGAGTCAGATACTCTTGATATAGAATACTCCTGTATCCTATGTAAAAAAAAAAAAAAAAAGAATAGTTGATCTTGTATCATGCAGGGTTGGTGTTTGTTCCCTGATGACACAAGTGGTTGGGCATCATTCCTTCACTACATTCTCATGTCACTTTGAAGTGCTATAGTCATATTGGTTTAGTGCTTTCTCCTGATAGTTACCTTGCCTTTCCTCAGTCGTCCAGGAAAACACTGCACTAAATTAAGTAACGGAAACCTGTTCATGAAGTACATTATATTATTTTACTCTGATCCTAATGCTGTTTTCCATATGGTGTAATCATCTTCAATTTTATCCCTATTTTTATTTATTTAGTTTTAAAGTTATAAGTCCATGTTTTTTGTTTGTGAAGTTACAGTATTTTATTTACTAAGCTTAAGATCCAGCTTTTTTGTTTGTGCAGATATTATATTTAATAGGTTTTGGTTCAAGTTTTGGTCTGCACAGGTCATTCACTGTTTGTTTCAGACATTCGTTACTGTGATAAATGTGTGCAGGTGAAGCCAGACAGATGCCATCACTGTTCAGTGTGTGGAGTGTGTGTCCTTAAACTGGACCATCATTGCCCCTGGGTCAACAACTGTGTCGCCTTCTCAAACTACAAATTCTTCATCCTATTTTTGGGTTATGCCCTTTTATACTGCCTCTTTATTGGAGCCACAACCCTACAATATTTCATAAAGTTTTGGAAAGTAAGTATAAATCTTTCTTTATTTCAACCTCTATCATTGTAAATAATTCCTAACTGCATTGTGGAACTGATTTATCATTACCAACTTTATCATCTTTATCATCATTTTAACCCATTTCTCACTTTCATGGGGTAGGGAGGCATCAGCCAGGAAGAAAAAGGGAAGGCAAAATAGAGGTAACCAAAAAAGATACCACTCCCTATCCATTTGCCATACTGTACAGTATTTTCTATGCTAAATATTTTCTTCCTCTCCTTTTCTCGTTTTTCTCTCCTCCTACTCCTTTCCTACACTTCCTTCCGTCTCTTTCCCTTCTCACCTCTCTTTCTCTCTTCCTACTCCTTCCTTGTATTCCTCCCTTCCTGGTACTGTGTCGTATCTTAAGAGTTTTTCCTCTTCCAGAATTCTTTATACATTTAAGAGGAAAGCTATTTGCCTCATCAGGGATTTTGATCTAATTATTAATTTGAATATTTAGCTTGCTGCTGCAAAATTACTCATCTCATTTTTTAATTCTGGTTCATTTTACAAGACAAACTACTGTACCATGTTTCTTTTCTTGTACTTATGATATTTATGCTTTCCTTCAAGTAGTATCTGTTGGGATATTTTTGAATAAAAGCAGATAATTTCACTCCATTTTCTTCTAGTTCATTATTATTGAGTGGAAAATATTGCCTTAACTGTGGCCCGTTCTGAAAATAAAATATTCTTTGGACCTTCCTCTAGTTCTTCCATGTTGGTGACTCCAGAGATGGTTTACCTATTGCATTAAACCTGCCCTTTCTCTGAAGATATGTGCACTCACTGTATATATTTAATATCTTAACATACAAAACTTATTGCTTGATCTCATATTTTTAATCTGTACTCATGTATTTTGGTTTTGCTTAGTACTGTATTTTGTTTTCTTCTCCCAACCATTTCTTTTACATGCTACTCTTCCCACATCACCTGACAATAAGGTGATGACTTTTGGCACCAAGGTACATACCCAAAATAGTCACCTAAGCTTCATTTTATTTAAAAAAAAGTAAATAATCTTAATAATATTACTGTGCTTCCATCTCATTTTATGTGATATGTATTGAATGAAACATTATCACTGATTATTTATCTTCGATATAGCTTTGGCTGTCCTTGATCATTCTTTTCAAGTAAAGTTTTCCATTAATTATATTTAACACTAATTTTAGTTTTCAATAGTCAAAACTGCAGTAATTGAGGCATGAAATTCCTACCAGTAAAGTGTTGATTTCAAGAATAATTTGCTTGTTCCACAGAATCAGCTTGATGTTGATGGAAAATTCCACATATTGTTCGTCTTCTTCGTTTCCATTATGTTCGCCATCAGTCTGGTATCATTGTTTGGATACCATGTCTTCTTAGTTGTCAAGAATAGGTCTACATTAGGTAAGTATTAAAATGATCTTATAATGTTTAATTTTATAATTTTTATATATAGGATTGGACTTGTAATGTCAGTCATGAGAGAGATTATGACTGACCTAATGAACTGACCTTTACTAATGAATCTTGTGGTCTGTCAGTTCAACAGAGGTTGTAAAGAAATTAATTTGATAATGTGAGCTTCAGGTGATAGTATAATTTATAGGCTATGTAAAGGAAAAAAGCTGGTGAATCCCTCATTATTAAACTGATTTATCAGTAAACAAGAATGTCACAAACCTAAAATTCTAATTCCATTATATTGATTGCTACCATTGAATTATTACTGGGTGGATAATTGATGATTATCCACCCAGTTTCACTGACTAGCATATGGCCTAAAACTCATACTTTTCTTTTTGATTAGCTTACTTTGTATTGCCTTTAGTGGGTGTATATGGTAATTAGAAACTGTATATTTGGCATATCGGGTGTTTAAGCATTCACACTGAGATAATCAACAGTGTAGTAAGGGATTTGTTTTATGAAACATTCAAGCCAAGCCTAAGATTAAGTTTACAGTCTCCGTGGTGTAGTGGTAAGACACTCGCCTGGCGTTCCGCGAGCGCTATGTCATGGGTTCGTATCCTGGCCGGGGAGGATTTACTGGGCGCAATTCCTTAACTGTAGCCTCTGTTTAACGCAACAGTAAAATGTGTACTTGGATGAAAAAACGATTCTTCGCGGCAGGGGATCGTATTCCAGGGACCATAGGATTAAGGACTTGCCCGAAACGCTACGCGTACTAGTGGCTGTACAAGAATGTAACAACTCTTGTATATATCTCAAAAAAAAAAAAAAAAAAAAAAAAAAAAAAAAAAAAAAAAAAAAACAGTTTATTCACAGAGCTTCTGACACTGCCAAACACCCCCACAGGTACACCTTGCTGTCATTTAAATATTAAATGGACTTTAATACCTTACACTCAAGAGAATATTGAATTTGAAAGGTTTTCATAGTTTAACATGATAGGAAACTTTGATGGTGGATGGCAGACAGGAGCGCACAAATAAACTTATCTACTTGTCTCTGTGGAATGAAAATTAAGGCTGGTGAATGCAAAAAAATAATCTCTTCTCCACGATAATTGTTCTGGGGATTTTATCTGTACTCACTTGGTATTTTAGGAATTATCAGGAGAATGGTTTGAAATTTAAAGCTTTTTCTCTGGAATTACATCACATGATAAATTTTTCCCTGTATCCAAATTATTGAAGATTGTGTCTTTTACTATGTGCAATGAAAAATTGTGAAGAAAATTCAGCCAGATAAATTTAGTATAAAATTATTTATGAATTTCACTTAAAATTTAAAGTGTAAATGATATGATTTTGTTATCCCCTGTTCGAGGCTCAGATGGTCCAAGTGAATGAAATATTATAAATTTAGGCACCTAGAAATGGCCACTTGAAGCAAAATCTATTAAATATATTGAATAGTACAAATGCCAAAAGACTTAAGTTAGGTACTGATATTCATTTTAAATTTCATTGTCTTATTCTAGTTTTATGACAAATTAAACTTGTATAAGCAGTCTGGTTTCTTTTTCTGAAACACACGTTTACTATATTTTTACCATAAATTTAATCCCCTTTCTGTGGGGAGTCCCTCCGGCTCCCTGGAGCTATCGGACTGATATACGCTATACTAATCTGGTGCATCAATCAATGGAGTTCTGCCTATTGGGGACCACGAGCCAGAACCTGGCCCTCTCAGTTCCCTAAGACCCTGAGACCATTGGTCCCTGGCACAGGGACCAATGGTCTATGGAACCCTCCCCCCCCCCCATGTGTTTAGGAACATTCCATGTCTGCCATTGACTGGGGTTAGGTACCCAGATAGGTAGGCATAACAAAACAAACCGTACTTGGTAAGAAAATTGCAACCAAAAACCGAACAGAGAAACAGAACTTCCCTAAAAACATAAAGAACAAGCAAACGTCACTTACCCCCGCCGCCCTTTGTCCAAGCAGCCGGGGGCCTGCACCAGCTACTCGCACCCCAGTTCATAGGCTGAAACACTCTGGGGCAGTCATCAACTCTGGCCTCGACTTCTTGGTGGTATTTGTGCTTTCGTGGTGTTTCCTGCTCTTTGTGGTACGGTGGCCAGGAGTAACTTCAGTGTACTGGGGCTGCATGTGCTTAGGGCTGCTTTCCCTAAGCGCCCTGTAAGTACTACCTTTGGGTTCTAGGGTTACCTTCCTTAGAGCCTCAGGACTCCACTTCCATAGGGGTACTTGCTGCTCCGCATTTACTGTGCCCTTGGGGCCAGCTGGGGTTTCGTGGCCAGGGGCATTGGTCCAGAGGCCAATGCCTCTGGACCCCCAGAGGCATTGGCCTCTGGGGGTCAGGTTGATGAGGTTCATGCTCTCCTCTGGTGCAAGAGTTTCTGCTCTTTCAGTCCTGGTGGTCGATTTGTTCGATTGGAGCCATCTCCTTCTTTTCTTGCGAAGAACAAGATGTGGTCTTTCGGAGGGGCCCTTGGGTCATTGATGCTTGGTTGGTCAAGCTGGGTGTGCATTATGTGTTGTCCGGTTGCGGCTCTCTGCCGTTACCTGCACACCTTGGGTTCAGTGGCCAAGGATGTGCTTTGGGTTGATTCGATTTCCCTCTTTCCTTGTTCCAGGGCTTGGTTCTCTCAGGTTGTCTACATGATTATTAGATCTAGCCAGTGTGCGGTGTATTCCCAAGCCCATGGCATTCGTAAGTATGCTGCATAGGCTGCAGTGTTTGGCAACATGTCTTGAGCTGACATTTGGTCACAGGGGTTTTGGAGGTCAAACAGGGTCCTGGCCACCTGTTATTTTGGGAATGTTTCTGGTCCCAGTCATTCGTGTGTGGCTCTGATTTGCAGGATGCAGTCAGTTGTCTCCACTTTGAGTTGATGTTCGCATTGCAGCTGCCTCCCGGGTAAGTCTCTCATTTACTTGTTTTTTGTCATGTAGCTCCAGGGAGACAGAGGGGCTCCCTATAGAAAATCAGTGTTGAATGTAATGAAACGCCATTTTCTGGGTGAGCCCTGGAGGCTGCCTGGCACCTTCCCTTCCTCCGGTTCGTGGTTTCTTTTCATGCTCAGCCTCTAAACTGGGGTGTGAGTTGCCGGCACAGGGGGTCTGGGGCTCCCCCCTTTACCTCCTAGGGAAGGGAGGGCTGCAAAGACAAGCGGCACTGTGGCGGTGAGTGATGTTTGCTTGTTTGTTTATTTCTTTATGTTTTTGGGGAGCTCTGTTTCTCTGTTCGGTCTTCGGTTCCAATTTTCTTACCAAGTGGGGTTTGTTTCGTTTTGCCTACCTTTCTGGGTGCCTAACCCCAGTCAATGGCAGACATGAAATGCTCCCAAACAAATAGGGGTTTCCATAGGCCATTGCTCCCTGTGCTCCCTGGTCCCCTCCCTGAGGGGACCAGGTTCTGGCTCGTGGTCCCCAGTAGGCAGAATTCCATTGACTGAAACCCCAGACTAACATAGCGTATATCAGTCCGATAGCTCCATGGAGCCTCCTGGGCTCACCCAGAAAATGGCGTTTCATTACATTCAATGCTGGTTTTTTATTATTTAATTTGCCAAATTTGCAAATTAATTTGCCAAATTTTCAGATTTGTTACATATGACTGTTAATACTGTCTACTTCTGCAATGTTTATCATAAGCTCATTAAATATGATTGATCTTTATTCATCATTATGAATTAAATGTGTTTAATTTTAAGAAATATATATGCCATGTTTAAAATCTAGAAAAATGCTACCCTCTCAGTTCTGGGGTATTTTAATCCTAACATGTTTGGGAGTAATGGAGTCATTATACAGTTAAATTAAAAATTTTGATAGATAACACGCAAAAAAAGTCCAGTATTTATAATGCCAGACAGATCATAATATGAATACTGTATATTTAAACAGAATCATTTCGTGCTCCCATCTTCCGGTTAAATCATACCTGGATGCAAGATAAAGATGGCTTCAGCCTGGGGGCTTTCAATAACTTCATTGAAGTCTTCGGGGACGACGAGAAGCTATGGTTCCTGCCAATGGCCTCCAGGTGAGTAGTGATTCCATTTGTGAAAGTCTAGGGTGATACCCCATTTCTGAGTGTCATTCATGAAACACGGTTTGTGAAGTCCCATCGGGTTTAATCAAGACCTGCTGTGTTTAATATTACTTCTACAGTACTGTGATAATAAGGTAAGATTTTGTATTTGTTGAACCTATATTAGTTCCATTATTGGAGGTGAACTTGGTGCTACATTATACCACGTTTCACTGTATTGCATTTTTTTTTATTTTACATTACATTTATAGTCACAATCTCAGGAATACTTTTATGAGTTTGCCTTTTTTTTATGTATTGGCATATTACACTAAGCTTGTATAATTTTTGGCGAGTGTATCCCGGTGAGCATTTGTACTTATTGTCTCTCTAATTTTGTTAGTGGTGTATCTGGACATTAGCATATCTATACCTTGCTTCACCTGATTTCACTAATTCCTGGGAAGGGCCCCTCAGTAGCTCCATGAGCTTAACTCATGCCCTTAGCCCAACACACCAGGTCTCCAAGACCCATCCATCTCCTACTGAGAGCCAGGACCAGAATCTGGCTAACTATGAGATGAGAAGAGCTGAAAAGGGCATCAGAGATCAACCACAAAACTGGAAGAACCCCCCACCAGAAAGTATAGGTGAACAAAGCAAAGCAAATGATTATTGTCAAAGGGTAACTCCCCTTGTCTGTAATGCACCTGACCTCCAGATGGCCACCCAGGTCTTACTTGAGGTCTCAGCCAGCCTGCCCCCTTACTTTTTCATCTGGTATCATCAGTTCAATGCCTGTTGCTCTGCAGAGCTCGTCGACAGCTTGTTGTTTTCAACTATGGTGTGTTGGATCTTCCTTGAGCATTATATTATGCAGGGGGTCCATTGCTTCATTTATTTTTGTTCATGCCTAATGACTATGTTTATGCCACTCACACTGCATGTGCTCTGGCATTCTATTCTGTTCTGGCCATGACCTAGGTAACTTTTGGGGGTTGGCTTGCATTTCCCTGTTGGTGCCTTCTTTTGATAATTACTTACTTGCATTTCCCTATAACTCACCAGAGAACTCTGTTTTGAAGGAATGTGGGCTCCCTCCTTTGCCAGCGGACTCCTCTCGCATCACCTCTCTTCTGGGCAGTGCACGATATTTATTCTTCCTTCAGAGCCTGTTACTGGAATTGAGATAGTATTGTACTTTATCGTACTTTAATTATTGTATTATATTGTACTTTAAATACACACACATTTGACTGAGAACTTTAAAGACATTCTCCTATGGGTATTAGGAGCCTTGCATTTTACCCAAGGGCATGCTTGGGTGGTACACGTGAATTTCGTGCCCTTCCTCGTCAAGTTTCTGAAGTCGGGGCTTGGTGTTCATTTTGCTAAGATGCTCTTCCCATACCCGGCACATCTGCCCTTTGTGTGCCAGTTCAGGTGACTGGAGTCCTTCATTCCTCTTGGGTTTATTGTCATGTGTAGTCAGCTAGGTAATTACGGCTTTTTCATCTGATTCCATGTTTGACACTGCTATGTGCAGTTTTCATGGATATGCTTGTGTGTTCTTAGACTCCAATGACCATTCCTGTTGCCTCCATTTGGTGCCCTGCTGGGACCAGGGATTGTTTTCACATGTTGGTAGGTGCTGGACATCATTTTTAGCCAGGCCTTCTGTTTGGGCAGCAGTCTCATGGGCTCTGACTGTTTTGCAGGCTAGTCTTTATGATGTAAGCTTTTGCAGCCCCAGTCTGTAATGGTTAGAGCAAATGCCAATCTTCTGTTATTTTTTCTGAGGAAGTTGATTAGTGTCTTGATTAAAACTGACTGATCGAATCAATCATAACTCTTGATTCGAGTTAAGTCTCGAATCAGCTGGCTTCCTTTGTCACTTGTGCCTTGGCAAGCATACAGCTGGCTTAAGTATGCTCACCATCACATTCTCCTTTGTAGGTTCAGGCTGTTCAGCTGGCACTGTGCTTTTCTCATAAAAATTAAGAAAATGTTCATTTGACATCAGCTGTCCCATTGTATATGTGTCAAGTCTGCTTTCCACATTATTCAGAACAATATTTTTGTATTGTACTGCTTTCACTGCTTTACCCCACATCTTGCTATTGCATTTACTAACTGCCAGATGTGTGTTATGTTAGTTATTTGGTGGAGTTTTTGAGGGTTATCTTGAGGTTATCTTGAGATGATTTTGAGGCTTAGCATTCCTGCCGCCCGGTCTTTGTCCAGCCTCCTTATTGTTAACCACCCCCAGGAAGCAGCCCGTAGCAGATGTCTAACTCCCAGATAACCATTTGTTGGTCTCCCGCCTGCGTGCTTCGTCTCGGCGGCAGTGTTTCACCTCCAGCCTGCTCATGCGCTTCCTGAGCCGTCCTGGTCTTTGGACCGGGTGCTCTCGTTTCTCTCTTCTCCTTGGTTTGTTGAGGTCCCTTCCATTTGAGATTGTTTTTCTAAAGCTCTTTTCCTGTTGGCATTGGCCTCTGGGGGTCGGGTCGGGGAGCTTCATGCTCTCCTCCGGTGCAGGGGTTTCTGCTCCTTCGGTCCTGGTGGTCATTTTGTTCAGTTGCAGCCGTCTCCTTCTTTTCTGGCGAAGAATGAAGCGGCTGCATTTTGGAAGGGGCCTGGGTTGTTGATGCTTGGTTGGTCAGGCCGGGGGTGCATCATGTGTTGTGCACATGATGCTCCAACGGCTCCCCGCTGTTATTTGTGCGCCATGGCTTTGGTGGCCCGGGATGCACTTTGGGTTGACCCAGTTTCCCTTCTTCCCTGTTCCCGGGTCTCTCAGGTTATCTGCAGGGTTATTAAGTCTAGCCAGCCAGCGGTTAATCTCCGTGCCCAAGACATGTGTAAGTTTGCTGCTTTGACTGCCGTCTTTGGCAACATGTCTTGAGTTGACATTCAGGTTTTTGGAGGTCGAACAGGGTCCTGGCTGCTCACTACCTGGTGAATATTCCGGGGCCAGGTAGAGCCTGCATTGCATTGGGTAGGCGGTTGCAGTCAATTGTCTCGACTTCGTGTTGAGGAGTGAGGATGAACCACCTCCCGGGTAAGTTCCTGTTTTTCCTTATCTTTGGGTAGTTAGCTCCGGGGAGCCGACAGGGCTTCCCCCCCAGAAAACCAGCGATGAATGTAATGAAACACCAATTTCTGGGTGAGTCCTGGAGGCTCCCCGGCATCCCTCCCTCCCTCCGGTCGGTGGTGTTTTTCGCACTTTTTGACATCCAGCCTAAGAACTGTAGGTTGGGTCGCCAGCGGATATATCTGGGGCTCCCCCTTCCCCCTCACGGGGAGGGAGGGGGAGGGTTTGCACAGACAGCAACACGGCGACATGATGACGTCATGCTAGTTTGCTAATTTCGTTTGGGGAGTTCTATTCACCTATTCGGCTTTCGGTTGCTATACTTTTACCAGAATAGGGGTTTGTTTTGGAGCGCCTACCTTTCTGGGTGCCTGTCCCGTTCGATGGCAGACATAAAATGCTCCCAACCACAGGGGGGTCTCTATAGGCCATTGCTCCTCGTGCCTCTCTAGAATGGTGCAGGTTCTGGCTCATGGTCCCCGGTAGGCAAAAACTCCATGCATTGACTGATTCCAGAAAGATATACATATCCATTCAGCCTGGATAGCTCCGAGGAGCCTCCAGGACTTGCCCAGAAAATGGCGTTTCATTACATTTAACGCTGGTTTTGTGGACCATGCAGTCCAGGTTCAAGATCACAGAGGGTAAAAGCACCTAGCTTCTACTTGTATAATTATAATAGAGCTACATCCTCCACAGAAAAACCCATCATTGAATGTAATGAAATGCCATTTTTTCTAGGTGAGACCCAGAGGCTTTCCCGGAGCTATGCAGGCTGATATAGATATATATAACTTTCTGGCATCAGTAAATGTGCATGGAGTTCCTGCTACCGAAAGCCGAACAAGTGGACAGAACTCCCCAATGAAAATTAGCAAACAAGCATGACGTCATCATGTTGCCGTGCCGCTTGTCTGCAACCCCCCCCTCCCTGTGAGTAGGAAGGGGGAGCCCCAGACCCCCGCACCAGCGATCCAACTGGCAGTTTGAGCAGGATTTCAAAAACACGTGAAAACACTGCCGGCCGAAGGGAGGGAGGGATGCCAGGGAGCCCTCGGGACTCGCCCAGTAAATGGCGTTTCATTACATTCAACGCTGGTTTTCTGGGAGGGAGCCCTGTTGCCTCCCCAAAGCTAACTACCCAAAGACAAGGAAAAATAGAGAGACTTACCAGGGAGGTGGTCAGTCCTCGCTCCTCAACGCGAAGTTGAGACAACTGGTTGCAACCGCTTGAGACAACTGGCTGCAACCGCCTACCCAATGCAACGCAGGCCCTACCAGGTCCAGGGACATTGATAAAGTAGCGAGCGGCCAGGTTCCTGTTCGACCTCCAAAAACCCCGTGCCCGAATGTCAACCCAAGACATGTTGCCAACGACAGTAGCCAAAGCAGCAAACTTACGAACGACGTGGGCACGGGGTTTAGATCACAGGCTGGCTAGGATTAATAACCCTGTGGACGACCTGGGAGACCCAAGTCTGGGAACAGGCAAGAAGGGAAACCGGATCAACCCACAGCACATCCCCGGTCACCAAAGCCGTGGCGAGCAAATAACGGCGGAGAGCCGCAACCAGACACAACACATGATGCACCCCAGGCCTGACCAACCAAGCATCAGCAACCCAAGGACCCCTCCAGAAAGCAGCAGTCTCATTTTTCTCCAGAAAAGGAGGAGACCGCTGTAACCAAACAAACCTATCACCAAGACCGAAGGAGCAGGAATCTCTGTGCCGGAGGAGAGCATGAAGCTCCCCGACCCCCAGAGGCCAATGCCAACAGGAAAAGTGCCTTAGAAAAACAATCCTGAACCGAAGGGGCCAACAACATACTGAGGAGAAGAAAGAAAAGAGAGCACCCGGTTCAAAGACCAGGACAGCTCAGGAGGCGTGTGAGCAGGCCGGAGGTGAAACAACGCACG